TGGAAAAGAAAAATTTGATGCCCAGTGGAACAGATGGAAGCAACTTTTTTCTTAAACTCTCTCTCCTCTCTTTTCTTTCACTCTCCTTTATTCCTCTTTCTACCTCTTTCTATTAAAAAAAATACATCATGTATTAGTTCAATGTATAATATTGTATAAAGAGATGTGAAAAAAATCATTTTACAGGGTTATCTGAACACATCTTTTAACCTGTTAACAAATAGGCTTGAATTAACATTATCCTTGCTGGAAATATATTCGCAAAAGTTCATCTTCTGCAGACATCATTTTATAAATAAAATTATCTTCAAAAAATAGAAAAACTCGACCAAAAAAGGCGACTTTCAGGCAAAAGTGGGAAGGTGCAAGGGCGAAAATGCGAAGTTGCGAAGGTGCTAGGGCGAAAATGCGAAGTTGCAAAGGCAAACTTACGAGAGTGCGAATGTGCGAAAGTGAAAATGAGCATGCGAAGGCGAAGAAGCGATATGAGTATCGCTCCTTCGTCTTCGCACTTTCGCCCTCGCACCTTCACGCTTCGTTGTCAAATTTTCGTCTTCGCATCTTCGCTCTAAAGGCGAGAATGCGAAGGTGCGAGTGGCCCCAATAGAACACCATACTTTTCTCATGTAAACAAAACATAAGGGAATATAGGTGGTAGGAGGGGATGCAGGGACCCCCCCCCCCACTTCCTAAACTTTTACTAAACAAAAGTGATTTTTTTTTTCAGCTATCAGTCTTCCATGCAAGATAATACTCCTTCCTATCGGGGGGGGGGGGGGGGGGTCTGGCCCTCCACTTTTTTTCCCAACTTTACTTTTACTACAGGAAATGTTATAGAAAGGTTGGTTCCCCCCCTCTCCCCCGTATATTATAGGAAATTGATATAAGGGAAATGTGATGTATGTATAACATATACAGTGTATGTTATGTTCTATAAGGAAAAAAGGGTACTGAAAAAAGTTGACATTGAAAAAAAGTTGGACTCTAACCCCCCCCTCCTCCCCCCCCCTCCTCCTCCCCCCGCGAAGGGCTCAAGTGAGCTTTTCTGATCATATTTTGTCCGTCTTCCGTCCGTCCGTCTGTCTGTCTAGCTGTCCGTCTGTCCGTCTATAAACTTTCCAAGACCCCTCACAAGGGGAGATAATCTAGAAAAGAAAAAAATAGGGTTGGGTCATTAAAAAACTTCTTTTCAAGAACCACTGGGCCAGAAAAGCTGAAACTTATGTGGAAGCATCCTGGGGTAGTGTAGATTTTAAATTTTTAAAATCATGACCCCGCGGGATAGGGCGGGGCCACAATGGAGAATCAAAATTTTACATAGAAATATATAGGAATAATCTTTGAAAATGTTCTACTCAAGAACCACTGGGCCAGAAAAGCTGAAATTTACGTGAAGGCATCCCGGGATAGTGTAGATTCTAAATTAATCAAATCATGACACCCCCCCCTCCGGTGGGACCGCAATGGGGAATCAAAATTTAAGATAGAAATATATAGGAAAAATCTTTGAAAATCTTCTACTCAAGAACCACTGGGCCAGAAATGCTGAAACTCATGTGGACGCATCCTGGTGTAGTGTAGATTTTAAATTGTTCTAATCATGACCCTCGGGGGTAGGGTGGGGCCACAATGGGGAATCAAAGTTTTACAATGGGGAATCAAAGCATTCTATAGTCGAAATTGTCTAAATTATGATCAGTGTGGTAGGGTGGGGTCACAATAGTATTTTAGTATTTTAATAATTAATAATACAATCTGCTTATAAATGAAATTTAACTAAGAAAAGATCAAGTGAAATTAATGAAATGATTTATATATAAAAAAAAATTACCAGTATACAAGATTTTACAAGATTTTATTAATCCAATTTGGGCCCCCGGAGGAGCAAAAAGATTTACAAATAGAAGGAGGAGGATCCAAATGATAGAACAAACATGATGATGATATTACAAATAAAGAGCAATTGTTAAAAAAAAAAAAAAAAAAAGTATATAAGAGATATACTGAATATACATACATGTATTGTATTGTAAGTTACATACAAATATATATAATTTGTACATATATATATATATATATATATAGTTAAGGGCAAGAAACTGGGAAAGAGGTATATAATTTTTTTATGCTTATCACAATATCTTCAATTAAGGTAAATTACTAAGGAATGCAGCAAGTGATCTAAGGATGTCTGGGTCTTCATTAGTCATGAGCCAATAAAATTGATTATCATAAGATAGAGATTGAAAATTTTTACATTTAATTTTACAAATATTTATGAGTTCAAGTCTTTGTACATTAAGATGAGGACATACAAGGAGAAAATGAATTTCATCCTGAATCTCGTTGTGATGACAAAGTGAACAAATTCGTTCCTCTCTTGGTATTTTTTGGTAACGTCCAATTTCAATTTATATCAATTTCAATATGTATTACAAGGGGGAAATCTGGTAAAGAACAGTGGCGTAGCATCGTTTTTGAAAGTGGGGGGGCCAGCCAGAGAAAATTTTTTTTTTTACTTACCTGATAAAAGTTGACAAGCAAAAAAAAAAAAAAAGGAAAGTTGCCCAAAGTAGAAAATCCTATTTCGTGGGGGGGGGGGGGGGGGGGTAAATTTTTTCTCAGTGTCAGGTACTTTTAGAACCAGTTCTAATACTACATTTTCGGTACATCACTAAAAGTGGAGGAGCCAACCAGCCTTCCAATTAACATTTCCTATAGTATAAGTAAGGTTGGGAAAAAAAGGGGGGGGCCAGGCCCCCCCCCCCGCCCCCCCCCCCCCCCGGTTGCTACGCCCCTGAAGAACGAAATGGTTAAAGCTTATCAGGTGAGCGATGTGGCCTATGGCCTCTTGTTTTATATATTTTGCTTGTCAATTTAAAGGTAAGTCTAAAAAAAAAATTCTGGCTGCCCCCTTTCAAAAACGATGCTAGATGCTACGTTGCTGATAAGAGCTTAAAATTATATTTTTTTTCATGGCAACTAAAAAGATTTAAAATATTTCAAATCAATACGACTAGTAATATTCATTAAATAATAGTTACTGTTATAATATATATTTACCTTTTAATCGTTTAAAAAAGATTTCAAGCCCAAAAAGCATGTGTTATCCTTTTGTTCATTTAAAATCTGTTTTTAGGGTGTATGTGCAAAAATGCTATTTTCTGATTCAGTGATTGAACAGAAGAACATTTACGTGTGTTTGAAGTACAAGTATATTTTAGGGATGGCAATTCGTAACCGATTAATCGATTAATCGGTCGGAACGATGCTAATCGGTTAGTAAATCCTTAATCGGTTAGTCAAAAAAAAAAAAAATTCCTTCTTCTTTTTTTTTAAAGAGAGGAAACTGCTGCATAGATGTTAATTTAGCGTTTTTACATATCTTAATTAAGAATATTTTGAGGTAATTATAGCTCTTCAGTTTGAGACTGCAGGGATGATTGGTCAGTTCATAAAGTGTTAATCATGTTAATTAATGTTTTTAAAACATCATGCCGTTACCCAGATAGTCCCGTGATTTTTTAATGATATTAAAAACACTTTTAATTATACATGTTGAATGTCTATATTTTGCCGTTATCTTTTGAATTATATTATTAGAAAAAAAGTTGTAAATTGTACATAAAGTGAGAGTTCAGACATAGTTTTGATTATGGTGACAATGTAGAATTAACTTCCTAAAACAACTGTGTTGGGAAATTATCCCTGTCTGATTTCTCAAACAAGATTAATGGTTTTCTTGTCTATTGAAATCAAAATAAAATATACCCTTAAACACATAAAATTCCCCGATCAAAATGATAAACAGAATGTAATTTCTAACGTGTAACACCTTCTTGTGTACATGAAAAACAAATGTCAAAATGTATATCTTGATACGACTAACCGGTTAATCGGTCGGAACGTTATGCGGTTAACCAATTAGCAATTCTGGAATCGACGCATTCCCTACTATATTTATAGCAACCTTCAGTTAACGTTCTTGACTTCCATTTAGGAAATGTTCCAAACATTTATTGCTTAAAGACATGCGCAGCGTTCATATACACAAACTCTACATTGCACTGATAATTTTCTTAGATATTCTTATTTTAAATCATAGTAATTAAGATGTCCTTACACAAAAAATCAGCATGCATTATATATTACGAGTTAAACCGGATATAAAATTTCATTATACTTCTGTTAAAATGTTTCCTATATAAAGTTCAGAAGGTAAAATAACTATTTTTTATAGTCCACACATAGCAAAACTAAGCCCCGGGGTATAGTTTTTGTTATTATACCTCTACTGATTTTTCACTGTATAAGAGTAAATCGGTATATTTTGCTTATTCCCTGAAAATCACCATAAAAAGACTGATTCCTTGCAGAAAGGTGTGTCAGTTTGATGAACTGACACACACCTATTCGGAACACCTTGCAATTTCTTTTAATCATATGAAAAGTACCAAAAAATAATAAATATTCATAATGCAGCTGTATAAGGAGGCGGGGCCCAATTTTATACGGGAAAATGTAACTTGTTATTGTGACGTCATCATTGTAAACTAATCTGCCGAAGGCCTTCTCAGAAGATTTGATCACGTACCGACCCACTTCAATTCTCATTGAAGTTTATAAACTTGTTATTTATTACTTATATATACATTTGAGATGGACAATTAAATGTAAAATTAATTATATTGGGATGTAAATATTGCACTAACCCAACCGGTCGCCGTAGATTTCCGTCAAAAGTACGCAAGGTGTAAATCGGCTTGAAATCGGTATATTCTCTATGTACAGTATGATGCAATATATATATTCGTACAAAATGGCGACCTGTTTACACGCGCGTTCCGACTTGCATATTTATAGTGGAAATAAAGTAGTTTATAAATAGAGACTGGAATTTCGGTAGTTATTTTTAACATTTTTAATCATGTGACATTTCATATGTCACGTGATTTTATTGTCGTCTGCTACGTAAACAAATCTGAACCGGCGAAAACAAGATGGGGCGAAAAGGGAAAGAATTAAGCAACCAGGTAAAAGAAATCGCTTGGAAATTATTACAAGAAGGAAAAACTATCAGTTACGTGTCAGAAACATTAGATGTGTCCAGGACTACAATCGCCAGTTTTAAGAAGCGTGTAGAGCGCCGAGGTTTCATAGAAAACATCCCGAGACGAGGCAGGAAACCTGTCGTGACAGCCCGAGACTATCGGAAGCTAGAAAGGCTCGTAAAAACCCACAGAAGAGAGAGTTTACAGGATATAACGGACAAATTCAATGAAAATAAAGAACGGCCAATATCTAAACGAACTGTACAATTACATCTGCATAAACATGGATTCGTGAGACGGGTTGCAAAGAAAAAGCTGGTAATTCGAGAGGTAAATAGGAGAAAGCGTTTATCTTGGTGTCGTGAAAAGAGAAAAGTCACTGTTGACAACTTTTGGAGAAAAGTTATATTCTCAGATAAATCTAAGATTGTTGTGGGACAAGACTCGCGTGTGTATATTTGGAGAAAACGAGGAGAAGGTTGGAGGCCGGATTTGGTAAGGGGCGTGCAAAACAAAACCATGTTACCAAGTTATGATCTGGGGATGTATCACCTGGCATGGAGTCGGCACTATTTCTGAAGTGGATGGAAATATAAATGCTGATAAATATCAGACAATCTTAGACGACAATTTGTGGCCAGTTTTAGCCCGTCATTTTCCGACTGGAAATTATATTTTCCAAGACGACAATGCGCCTGTACACCGTGCACGTTCGACTCAGGATTATTTACACAGGAACGGGATTACAACGATGAGCTGGCCAGCCCAGAGTCCAGACTTAAATATAATTGAAAATCTGTGGCTCCTTATTAAAAGAAAGCTTCAAGGAAGGATAGGGCGAATTGAGAACAAAGACGATCTCTTCCGTGAAATCCAGCGCATCTGGACTGACATTACACCAGAGTATGTCAAAAGCCTGTACAGGACTATTCCGAGACGATTACTAAGTGTAATACGCTTAAAGGGTCACCTTACAAAGTACTAGGTAAGTTATTTTTATTTATTTAATTTCTGAAATGGAATAAACGAGTTACAATGTTGACCTACTTTCGTCGCGAGTGTAAACACGCCGCCATTTTGTACGAATATATATTGCATCATGCATGTACACAGGTTAAATCGATCGCCAAAAATGTATGAAGTACTTGTTCACGTTGTAAATAAAACTAGATGCTGTCATGAGACAGTAATACCCGCACTGACTAAGGTGTTTGCCTCTAAATACACACTCCTACATATTGGGCGGCTTTCCAAGGAAAAAGTCAAAATAATTCTATAATTCACACGGAACATGTATTCGTCAAATTGAGTATGGAATTCTCAGACCCTGTGACCATGTGACCTATGACTCAGAATCTCTTTTACATGCTTAAATACTAGTAATTCATTACCAATTTGAATTTAATTAATGATGTAAATTAGATTTTGATAAATGGTTTGCTCATAAAAGGACCTAATCCCCCCCCCCCCCCCTCGACACCAAAAACACACGGCACATAGCTTTTTTTGCGATAGTAAGTAAACAATTTTTCAAAACGCTACTCCTCCTACAATTTTAGTCTGATTTCAATATTACTTGGCACACAAGTTACATTGATACATAGAATAGTGCATCGGTTTTTGATTTCGATGAACGGTGTTGCCATGGTTACTAAAAATAAATTTTTTGTGAAATTCTTTAAAAACGCTACTCCTTCTACAGTTTTGGTCTGATTTCAATATTACTTGGCACACAAGTAGACTACACTAAGAAACATAGAATAGTGCATCGGTTTTTGATTTCGATGAACGATGTTGCCATGGTTACTAAAAATAGAATTTTCTGTGAAATTCCTTTAAAACGCTACTCCTTCTACAGTTTCGGTCTGATTTCAATATAACTTGGCACACAAGTAGACTACACTAAGACGTAGAATAGTGCATCGGTTTTTGATTTCGATAAACGGTGTTGCCATGGTTACTAAAAATAGAATTTTCTGTGAAATTCCTTTAAAACGCTACTCCTTCTACAGATTTCAATATAACTTGGCACACAAGTAGACTACACTAAGATACATAGAATAGTGCATCGGTTTCTGATTTCGATGGTGTTGCACTATAAATAGAATTTTCTGTGAAATTCCTTAAAAACGCTACTCCTTCTACAGTTTTGGTCTGATTTCAATATAACTTGGCACACAAGTAGACTACACTAAGATACATAGAATATGCATCGGTTTTTGATTTCGATGAACGGTGTTGCCATGGTTACTAAAGATAGAATTTTCTGTGAAATTCTTTAAAAATGCTACTCCTTCTACAGTTTTGGTCTGATTTCAATATAACTTGGCACACATGTAGACTACACTAAGAAACATAGAATAGTGCATCGGTTTTTGATTTCGATGAACGATGTTGCCATTGTTACTAAAAATAGAATTTTCTGTGAAATTCCTTTAAAACGCCACTCCTTCTACAGATTTGGTCTGATTTCAATATAACTTGGCACACATACACTAAGATAGTGCATCGTTTTTTGATTTTAAATGGTTAAAAATAGAATTTTCTGTGAAATTCCTTTAAAACGCTACTCCTTCTACAGTTTTGGTCTGATTTCAATATAACTTGGCACACAAGTAGACTACACTAAATACATAGAATAGTGCATCGGTTTCTGATTTCGATTAACGGTATTACCATGGTTACTAAAAATAGAATTTTCTGTGAAATTCCTTAAAAACGCTACTCCTTCTATAGTTCTAGTTTGATTTCAAAATAAGTTGGCACACAAGTAGACTACGCAAAGATACATAAAAAAGTGCAATGGTTTTTGATAAGTACAAACCAGTAGAGCTACAGTCTCGACAGAGACTTCTGGTTTTGGAATAGGCTAGCTGATGGAAAAGTTTTGTTAAAACATCGCTTGTTATGAATTAATTTAAAATTTGTTCTTGTACTATTCATGTTTACATGTAAATACCTTTTCGGCACACCACTTCATCTGTTAAGGCGACGGAATCGACCAGGTTTGCCGAAGGGGATAGCATTAGCACGTGCTGCAGCCTGGTGTGCACTTTGTCAAATTGTGTTATAATTGAATTAATATATTTCATGACAGGACCTATGACAGTCCGTAAGTACAAGTTTAAGTCAAAATGCAAATGATTAGGTTAAATGTCAATGTGAGCTTGTCAGGAAATTGATAACAGCAATTTTTTACATAAAAAAAATTCTGGATCTGCACCAGTATTACAGTAACTGAATGTCACAATGGAGATAACTTCACAATTTCATATTGTGAAGTTATCTCAATGTCAATGTGACATTCAGTTACTGCCAATACTGGTGCAGATCCAGAATTTTTTTCGGGAGTGGGGAGGGGGTTCACATCTCAGTCAAAAAATTCCAGCCCAGAATTTCCTGACAAGCTGTAGAAAAAAACTGAAAACAAACAAAATAAAAACGATGATAGTGGGGTCGTGGGGTCAATGTTTTCTAAGTTAGGGGGAGGATGTCCAGTCATTTTTTATTTGCTTCCGTATAGAGTCTTGTTTAAATAACAAAGCAAATTCCAAGGGGAGGGGGATCCAATCTCCCTAGGCACTCCCTGTCCCCGAAATTACAATCGATTTTGTGACTTCAAAATAGTAGATTTTTTCCCATTTGACTAATTATACATATTTTGTTTCTTGTGTTTATATTATGTCTGTCTATTTGTCTGCAGAAACTTTAACCTTGCCCATAACTTTTAAGTGGGATGGGCTATACACATGGCTTCCACATTTCATAGTTTAATTCCTTGTGACAAGACCTTTTATTAGGGTGCCATGAATTTTGACCTCTTGATTACTTGACCTTGGATTTTTACACATTTTTACAAGAAAAATACCCAACTTTAAACTTAACCTAAATTTTGATCAGTAGGTGCTAGGGCTTTCATGCTTAACATGTGTATTCATTGTGAACTGTCAACAGGTATAAATATGTTTGACCTTGACCCTAGAGTTTGAACCACTTAAAAAAAACTTTAACCTTGGCAATTAAGTTTTGAACAGGAAGTACTAGGGATTTCTTATTTCACATGTGTATTCCTTGTGACAAGACTTTCTTCTGATACCAACATTTTGAACCCTTTGACCTTGACCTTTGACTTTGACATATATTTTAGATACTTCAAAGCAATAGGCTTCCATACGGGGGGGGGGGGGGGGATCAGTGTTTCACAAACACATCTTGTCATCTTGTCTACATTATTATTTGGTGATTTCTCCATATGAGGGAAAAATTCCTGAGAGAGATGTTTTCACAAAAAACAAAAAAATTACTAAAGAATTAAATATAAAACATGAATATGTTGGTCATATCTCTGCATGAAAAAAAAAACAGCTTTTCAAATACTGTAACCATTGTAACTCTTTCAAAGTATTTACCTGTGAGAATGGCATGATTTTTTTTTTTATTACATGTGACCAAGAAGTTTGATCTACTTGCAAAAAAATTAAATTGTTTTAAATTCATCATTTTGAAAGAGAAAAGTTAGGGCATTCATATTATACATGCATGTATATTATTACCTGTGATAAGACCTTTCCAGATAAATCATGACTTTTGACTCTGTGACCTTGACCTTGAAGCCTAACGTACTTTTCAAAAATGTTGCATTTGCTAATAACTTTTGATTGAGAAGAGATATGACTCTTACATTTGACATGTATACATTAATTACTCATAAGAATTCACGATGTTTCCCAGCATGCAATGCTTTTTTACCCCTTGACGTTGATGTTTTACCTAATTTTCAAATTATTTAACTCTCCCAAAAGATGATAAGGCTTCTCAGTAAAATTAAGGAGGAGTTAAGGGAAGACAGGGCTTTTTGCACAAAAAACGTCATTTTTCGACCCCCATTTGACCCCCTGGGGCAAAATGAAACATTTGAAACCTTACTGCACATCTACATGACACCACTAACCATCTCCCAAAAGATGATTAGGCTACTGTGTAAAATTTAGGAGGAGTTCAGGGAAGAAAAGTGTGACAGACGGACGGACGGATGGACGGACATGAGTAACAACAATATACCCGAACTTTCTTTAGAAAGTTTTATTTCTTTTTATTTCACTCCAAAAAAATTCAAACCTCAGAAATTATATTATACATCAGTATAATAAAACGCTTATCCACTTGTTGTGGGTGGGATGGCTCTTTTATCAAACCCTTACAGGAAATATTCCCCTCGTGCAAGCCCTCGGGGAATATTTCTCTGTCGCGGGTATGATAAAAGATCTATCCCACTCACACCCAGTGAATAAGTGTATAACATTCCTGGTATTTTTGGAAAAAAAACTATTATAAATAGCTTGTATTGCCCATAAATATGCACTGTATGGATATTTGGAAATGTGAAATCCTGAACAAAGCAGAATATAGAAACAATAGACACATAAATCAGAGAAAAATCGAATTAAACGTAGAAACGACTAAATTTTCTGAGTTAAAGTTATAATAATAAAAATCCATATCATTCTCATAGTTACATAACACTCAGTGAGATATTAACACATTATTTCTCCGTTTTGAACGACATTAAGAAAAAATTT